ATGTGAATGCGCTCAATGTTTGTTCAGCTGATGCTTGTAGTAGGCGTATTGCGTCTACATTAGTGTATAATAAGGCTTCCAAAGCGCAGTGGTTGCGTGAACCAATGAAAATATTGGTTTTGTCGAACCAGTATGACTAGTTCAACCACCATGACCAGTCACCCAGTGTGACCAGTTCGAACCACCTTGAACAGTTCAACCATTATGAAACTGGTCAAACTGGAGCTACAACCAACTTTAAAACTGGTACCAATTTGAACTGGTCTTTCCAATAGGGTTGTCGAGGCGGAAAGAAGTGGGAGGAGCTTCCGCCGCGTTCTTGACCTGTCGCCGACTATAGGGTGTAATAACATAAACACTGAGGGCTCTGCACATATGCAGAAAGTAAGCTTTGCTTCACTAAATACATTACCAGTAAAGTATTCGATTTTATCGTGCAAGCGAAGCGGCCGGAACATGCAAGCGCGAACGTGCTGCCCTGAACTACTCTTCCAGTGAACGAGCGCACCGTTCTAAGCATGGAGCTCGCTTTTATTGCATTTGGTGCACTCCCACCTTTTAAAACACAATTATATTCAATTATATTCTTTCATTTCTTTTTCATTAAGTGCGTCTATGTTTTTCTGTCTTCTGCGTTTATGTGCCATTTTCTTAGTTACATAATATTTTACCAGAAGTTCGATAGTCTGTTTCATCATAAGTAAGAGTCGCGCATAATCAAAGTTGTAGACAAAAAAAAAGACGTGTACAACACCTTGTAATGCCGAATTAGAGCGCAGCACTTGAGAAGGAAAAGAGAAGGATACTAAGGTGAGATTATACCCCTCCTCCCTCCTCCTCACCCCCTCATTCTCCCTGCTACTCCTCCTCCCATTCTCCCCCTCTTCCTTCTCCTCGATCTCCTCCCCTCATCCCTTCTCCTCCTCTTCCTCCCTCATCCCTCTTCCTCCTTCTATCTCCTCCCCCTCCCCTCTTCCCCCTTCTCCTCCTCCTCCCCGATTGTTGCATCATGGAGAGTGTCCCATAATGCACCGCGCGTGACCCTCGTGACTTCACGTGTTACGTTACGAGTGCCGCCCATCGCCATTATGGGACATTTCTCATAATGCACCGCCCGGTTAGGCCGGAGGTGACGGCGACGCCGCTTCAAGCAGGAAACGGGCGCCTAAGAGCTGGGCTCAACGGTACTATAACACTCAGTTGGGAAACTCACCATCGAAACCTGGGCCGCTGGCGTCCACCAAGACTGAGCTAAATACGAAAACAGCGCCACTCTTTATCATTTGTCTGTACTGTGGTCACCTTGAGCTTTTACAAAGCATGTTTTTGCGTAAAAACAAACAAAAAATACTCAATTTTTTTATTAAACTTTTTGGAGTTTAGTACAAAAAGAAGGGCGCGTGATGTTTTTATAATCTTTAATTTGCAAGGTTTTGCGGAACAATTAATATTGTTTTTATACAACCATGCTTCAGCAGTCCTTTCAGGGAGCGCGTCCCGACCTAGGTGCATTTTAACTTCGATACTAATTTGCGGCGCGTCCGCTGGGGAGGCGGGGGTGGCACCCCTGTAACCTCTTCCGCTGTATCTGTTTCGGCGCCGAAATGGCCCATCAAAGCCAAAATAGAAGTAATGTGCAGTTCCTCGAGTGGCCGCTGCGGGAAAAATGGCGGCGTTGTGTTCGCCATTAGCTCGGTTCTGGTGGACAGATTGGGGCCACTTTTTCAGAGCAGTCTCTACGGCAGTTTCCCAAGTGAGTGCTTTAGTAGAGTTGGCTGGGCTCAAAAAAAGTAACGCGAACACGAGAACACGCATTAAAAATGCATTGTAACGGTGCATTCAAAATTAGTCGTTAGTTTTTTAGTGCGCAAGAGTTTTGTACGGCTAAATTGTTACCCGTTGTAGATTATTAAACTACAGTACAACTGTTGGCTCGGAACCTGTAACGTTCATCACGCAGTATATGCGATACACGATCGCACGACGGTAGGATGCAGATGGCCGACAGAACCCAGGGTCCCTGCTCAAGCCCCTTGATATAGGCGTATTTTACAAGTACCGCCAACCATCTTACTATACCGACATATATTGCCAGACAGTAGTAAAAACATAGTTGTAACAGTAAGGGGATAATTAAATAATAAATAAGGTTTAGCTCGATATTCTTCTTCCTTTGGTTCTGAACAGGTCGAGTCTCGGCTGAGACGTTCGTGAATAAAAAAAAAGTTTCCAGTATATAAATATTATTAATAAAAGAAACACTCATGACAACAATTAATTAGAACTTCGGTTAAAAGAGGGAAATGTAAACGCACGTTTGCCGTGTGTACCTTTCTTGGTGCCGTTCAAAAACGCACGGAGCACGAACCGACTGCAGTTTACTCCGGTGTTCTCCAGATAGACGTCCGCTGATGCCACGGGCAGCGAAGGGCAGAGTACTAAGGAAGCCGCGCTAAGGCCCCACTCAAGAGTTTTACTCTCTGCTCAAGCCCAGAATATTGAGTCTACGTCAGCCACCATTATTTTTTATTTGTAAAAATATCTGCTTGAGATAAGATGCGTCCTGCCGGGCAAAACAGGGAGAAGAAGAAAGGAAGACTATCACCATTTTCCAAGTGCTCGCAAAAAGCGGACTCACAAAAAGGGTGACTGGGAGGGAGATAACCTGGCTGGAATTCACGAATAAAGTGGGCCAACCCTAGAAGTTGGACTACAAAGAAGTAAGTAGCTTTTAAAACAGGGTCAAATAATGTGAAAGATGCCGAAAAAGATACATCTTATTTCCTTAGAGAAGGTGATAAGTGTGCAGCAACGAACGAGGATGGTGTGGCAATAACACCTTCACATATTATCACATCTCTTTTTGTGGAGTTTAGGGTAGACGGAGCGTTTTCTCGTGTCATGACATGAAAATGTTCGCAGTCACTATAACCGAGGACATTGTAAATTCTTGTCTGTGCCCTTACCGCCTCGAGCTTCTCGAAGAGGCACACAATCACTTGGTGTCCTCCTCTCCCCGTCTTCGATCGCAAAGAAAAAAACAAAGCGACTAAAAAAAAAAAACAGATAAAACTTGCTCCCCCCTTTTTTGTTTTATTAGAAATGTTTATTTGGATTTCTTGTTAGGGTCTAAAAAATAGATTCAGGGGCTTGGTGTTGCAAAAAAAAAGGCTTTGCAGAACTAACGAGTGCCACGCCTCCCTTTGTTTGCGCTGGTCCATTCGCGTGCGTGACAGTGTCACTACGCTCGACTTTGCCAAAATAAAAACAACCCTTTCTTTAGAACGGGGGGGGGGGGGGGGGGAGAGCGGGGGTTGTTCGGTCCTGAAAAAGTACGTACCGGATTACAAGGAATCCGTTGCGTAAAAAATGTAAGGGAATTACTTTAAAATTACTCTATAAATATGTAATTATTCCGTTACTAAATTACTGATAAATGTAAAGGATTACAAGTAATTTCGTTACTTGTAACGGATTATGTACAAGTCTGTTTACAAGTGGAAAGTATTCGTCCTCAAGAAGGGTAGACCAGGGTTGGAAGATCAATAAGCTGGTGGTGCCCTTATAACATCTGTAATTCCGCAACGACTTGCCCCAAGTATACAAATGGATCTAGACCCAGTATACAACACCTAATTCGGCACAGGCCGGACTCCAACAGGACAGATATAAACACAAAAGAACTTAACTGCAGAGTGAATTTACTCACCAAAAGCGGAAGCTAAGACAATCTTTACGTCCCTTTGGGACTTCGCTCAGGCAAGCGGAATGTACCTGCGTATGTAACGACTGCTAAGCTCCTTAAACCACAACCACCTCTACCCCGAACTGGCCGCGACGTCATCCTTTTCCAAAATAAGATTTATTAACTAATTCATTGCAGTATTTGTCCCTTCTTTCGAAATTGTTAAACCTTTGTACTCACATCCAAACATAAGCGACAGATGGACGAGTCTCGGCGGTAATGAATATAAAAAACGGCTTAAGTAAAAAAAAAATAAACTGCAAGTCATCTCTGCATTACCTACCTTCTTTCAGTAACAACGATAGGGCTGCGGGCTTGCTCGTGCTTTAGTCATTCTTTTGTTTGGGAAGGTTCGCCAAAGCATAGGCGCAGTCAAACAGCTTCCCTCCTCACCCCCATGACCGTCCCCCCCTTTCCCCCACACTGCCACCCCTGCAAGTGCAGCACCACAGCGGTCATGATGACAGGTCCAGACCTGTTCAAATGACTAAACACTCCCTGACAGTTACGAATCACAGTACTCTGGTGCGGCATATTTCAACGACGACATCAGTAACCTGAATTATGCGGCCAGCTCTTTTCGTCGTCGTATCGACGAAGCTACATGAACAGTGGTTGTCGTTCATTCTACGTTGTTAAATTATGCGTTATGTGACATTATACTCTCAATTATTATTAACAAAGTTACATTAACTTCATCCTTTAAATTAAAAAAAAAGGGTTTACGTGGTTGAAAGAAAAACGAAACATAGTACTAGAGTATGACAAAGACAAAAGCCAAACCAACTGGGACTTTGTCCGATTATTGAATGGTGTTTGTCCATCAAATAACAAAGTCTGAATCGGTCAGAGATAACTAAAGGTGTGCTCATGAGGGAATTTAAATATAGCTTAAAGACTTAAACTGATATTATCGAAACAATGCCCTATACAATTTACTTATGAGAGATGGAAAATGATCTTTTTCACATTTAAAATCTGTGCTTGTCACAAATTACACTGGAGCACTTAAAGCGCGAACCGACACAGAGGCGCAGAAAAACGTAGAAGCTCCCACCCACGAAAACATGTGAGGAAGGTAGGAACGCAGACTACTTCTCTTTATTGGATTTTATTGGAGCCGCGGAGAGCGCTTGCTGAGCTTTCCTCCTCTAGGCAGGTGTTATGAGACGTAAGAAGCATTTAATGGTTCGTGACCCTAGAAATCGGAATGGAGTAGGGCACTTGAACCTTGTTCGCAGAAGTCGTTACCCATCTAATAGGCTGCTGGCTCCAATGCTTCCACCGCAGATGAAAGTTCGGCGACTTCTGCACCCTGAAAGCAGGATATCCAAAATTGTCAAAAACGGGGAAGGTGGGGAGGGGGGGGGGGGGGGGTTAGCGAGGAAGAAAGAAAAGCTTTGCTATCCAAAATCGTCAAAAAACGGGGGGGGGGGGGGGAGCTTAACGAGGCAGAAGAAAAAGCTCTCCTGCCATTTATTAGAACTTAAGCGCATTTTGCTTCTTCTTTTGGATTACAAGAGTTTTTTTCTTCAATCGTTTTTTAAACAATTGGCCACAAAAGCTGCTAGCCGAAGCATGCCACCATCACAAATATTAGAAAATCTCCTGCAAACACGTATCTGCGCGAAAGTTGTATACTGATAGCTGTAAACGCAAAAAAACCTAAAAACTGCGTTTTGTTGGAGGTATCATTATATTTCTAAGAATGCTCCTAAACAATTCAACATCTTCCGGTTTTCTTTCACTCCCTTATCTTGACCGAAATCACTGGAGGCTTGGCGAACCTCCAGCATCACATTATGTCTCCACAGCCAATGAGTGTGCGGCATTGGCAGGCATGAACATCCAGGCATGAACATCAATATAATGAGCCTTGCGTGTCTTTAGATGTTAGCGACTATTCTTGTAATTTCTGGAGTGTGCACTTTCCCGCGGCGTCAACCTACCTGGAAGGGACTCTTGAGCCTCACCAGGTGGACCAGGTAGCCGCGCACGCTGTGCAGAAGCTTCTGAATGCCGAGAGCAACGCGGTAGTCCTCCAGGAGGCGCTTGCTACAGTCCGCGTACGTGTCCAGCAAGAGGCCCTGGGCGCTGGCGTCCGCCACCTCAAACTGTGCCTTGCTGCCGTGGGCGCCGCTGCTGAGTCGGACGTCGCAGCGGAGCTCTTGGAGTTGGTCAGCGTTGCGCTGAGCGGCGCCGAGTAGAGCGGCCCCGGTCCTCTTGGAAGGGCGGCCACAGCCAGGGGCTAGGCTCGTGTTGGCTGTGTGCTGGGCGAAGGAAGAGTAGGCCACGAGCAGCTGGTAGATTCGCAGGAAGGCCTGTTCCTCGGTGAGCCGCTGCGGGGGATCGTAAATGAAAGAACGTTGGCGACGAGGTGCCCCAGACTCTCGTGGGAGTGAAGTCTGGTTTCGACAGTTGCGTTGGTTGCTTTCAGTGCAACCGAAACGACACTGACGAAAACGTCAATCGAACCGCCGTTCCCTTATAAAACGTCGAAAACAATACAAGATGTATGTCTTTAAACCAATTATGCGTAGCGTTGTCGCGGTGCTCCGGTCGTTGGTGTCATCTTGGTCGCTGTAATCCCCACCGACTCAAATGTGTGAACCAGCCAAAACCAGCCTTAAGATGATGATGATGTTATCGATTTTTTTAGGCCTAAACGATGCTCCGCATATTTGCGTTGCTTGCGTTCATGGATACCAAAACGGCAGCAACGACCAGGACACCGGGACGACTGTGACTCATGATTACTTCATGAGGCCACCTTAGGCCACCTCCTGCACTCCTTGCCTCATTCTGTGTGTCGAAGAGTTGTCGCGGTGACTTCGTCACTGCTGTGTTTTAGGTCGCTCTGAACTAAACCGACGCAAATATCTAAACAAGGCCTGAGGTGGGACCTGCTCACTATTCCTACTCTGCATGCGTAACCCGGTTAGTGCAAGAAAGACGTGTGGAAAAAGGATGGCAGAGGTGTATTTTATGCTGGATTCATAATGTTGTTATCGTGGCGTCGTTATTTCGGACAAGACACTTTAGTCTAAACAGACATTAAAACTTCAAAACGCGGATCACAATGTCTCAATTTCGTTTCACTTGAAAACTGTCTGACGCATAATTATATTCCCCAGCCATGCTACAATAAATAGGGGAGAGACTGAATTGTCGCGTTGCGCACTTTTAAACAAAATAATTGAATATTCTTTCTACAGCCGCAAATGCGTAAAAAAAAACAAAAAAAAAGAAAAAAAAACAGATCGTTACCGCAATAACAAAAAGAAAATGTCGGCGACAGTTTAATAGTTCCGGGAAATATCACTTCGCTACTTTCCGCTTCAGCAGAGCAAACGCTGGAAAGGAAATCGCCTCCTATTTTATTTTATTTTTTTTTTTTTTGCAATCGGAAGTATAAGTATATTGAAATTTCGCATACGGGGTCCTCTATTTATAAAATTATACCCTGCAAGTGCAACACATTGGTAATTATGTACCTACCTTGAAGGAAAATACATATTTTTCATGTGCTGTTGGCTCTGACCTCAGTATGTTCTTTTTTTGCAGCCTTCTGGGTCCTGAACATGCGAGTAAGTCAGGGAAGCCTTGCATAACTAAAACTATTAGTATCTATTTGCCATCATGACAGGTTCTAAACCCTAGAAATGTTAATGTTAAAAGAACACATCTTGTTAAACCATTCAAACTTGATCTAGCGAGGATCCAACTTGCCACGTTTGTTTATTTGGGAAAGTATTCGTCATATGTAGGGTTCTGTGTTTTGGGTTTATATAGCCTTTTTTCTAAAGCGCAGGAAAGAGATGCTGTTACATTTTACGTCCCAGCGAGCTTCCGGTCATAGGAAATGACAAACAACCCCCACCGGAGCACGGATTGTTGCAACGTTCATGGAATATTTTATCACCAGTTCTGCAGGCGGTTAGCTAAATGATAAGTTAGCGACATATCTGTTGGAGATTTTGTAACCCTCCTATAGTACAACAAAACTTTCTTATATATTGAATAGCACAGCAGAAGGACCGCGCTAAGTCCCCTGCTTCGCAATTTCCGTAAAGCTTCCTTGTGCCAGAAATTTTGATGTCTACAAGCTCGGAAGTCCTGACTAACCGAGAGACCGGAAGTCATTTGAGAGCCAATAGACGGTTGGTTTTGTAAACAAAAGACGTGTTAAAACTGTAGACTTTTCCAGCGCTTACCACCGAGGCAAGCCATGCTGTGTTACTCGGCTGTCTAGGCATGCGCTGAGTCTTATATTTCGTAGAAGAGAGCTGTTGCACATGCTCAGAACGCCTTCCACAGACCACTAGACAAATATAGCCATGTCCACAAGGCGATTATTGGAAAGGTCTATGATAACCAAAAAGTAATCCCCAAGTTTATTTGATCAAAATCGAAAGGAACCGAAAAATACTGATCTGGAACTGTCCTTCCATAAGGGAAAAAAAGAGCTCCCAGGAACAAATACTTTATCTACAACATTCTTTATTTGGTGGAAAAAACCGAGCTCTCACTGAATTTACTGCGATGCGTCTTCGTTTCAGGAAGTCACATTCCGTATCTGCTTTCTTTCTGGAATAAGTATCGGGACGTTTTTTTAAGTATTGGGTAACCCTATGCTACCTGAAGGTTCGAGAATCCCTTACACGTGGCTTGTTTTGTTTAACTTGTGAGAAGCCGAGGACGAAGACGGCGCGGGGGGGGGGGGGGGGGGGGGGGTGGAGGGGAGGGCACGTGATGGGCACGTGATGGGCGGCCGACCGGCGCTCGAGACTGGCGCGCGAGAAGTGCGAGACGAGGAGCGATCAAGAACGGCCTGAACGGAGCAAGCTCCAACGACTCGGCCCAACACAAGACCAAGCCAGTCACGAAAACTCGGTCAAGCATCAGGGAGAATTGTGGAGTCGAACGCCAGGAGCAAGGAGCAGTAAAGTGTCTTTTTGTTTTGTTTTTCACACCTTCTATAACGTATGACTTCTTGGGAGAGCGAACCAGGCGGAGACCGATTGGGCGGCAGTATTATTGAGCGACCGCCATAGCTTGCGCCCAACGTGGAGCCCAGTGGGTGTGCCCCTGCTTCCGTTCGTCCCCAGGGAGTCCCACGGATTTGTTGAGCATGTTGTTCTTTAACGCTAGCGACGCCCGTTGAGACAACGTCTGTGTGAATTTCGGCGACTTGTCTCAGGTGTCTCCTCGAATCGAGTACCGGAAGGATTCGAAAGGCGAGATTGAAGACGCACTCTCTCGAGCACGCCAGAACAGCGGTTGGGAGGAGATGATGCAACCGGGGGTTACGAGGAGTGCGGGTAAGATGTAAGTAAGTCGTCTTCGGAGGCAGATGAGAGGCACCGCATGTAGCTAGAAGGCAGGATGACGACTAGTTGGAGGGGAAAAAGCGAGGACTCGTTGCAGATTTAGGGTTTGTTTTTATTAGGATTTAAGATTTAATACGAGAAGACAGATTTAGGATTTAGGCTTGGGGTGATGCGATGAGCAAGTAAGGGCTTGTCGAGGCCCAAGATACAGATAAATTTCTGTCAGCGGGTGTCGGAAAAATTGCCGGAGCAGTAGTCTCACCGGGAACGCTGGCGGTCCAGTTTGTTAGCGGGTGACGAAGCAATTGCGGGAATAGCAGTTCACACCGGGAACTGTGGCTGTCAAGATTGTCAGCGGGTGTCAGAAAAATTGCTGCAACAGCAGTTGACACCGGGAACGCTGGCGGACAAGATTGTTAGGGGGGTGTCGGAAAAAATGCGGGGATAGCAGTTGACACCGGGAACGCTGGCAGGCGCGTTAAGGAGAACTACGACAAGTATCTGCCGAACCGAGACCGCTTGTTGCTTCGCGTCATCCTAACAATCAACGACGGGCAGAGGAACGACTCTCCCTTCAGGGGGTGGTTCCTAGAATGCTAAGGAGGCGATTCATAGGATGCTTTTTCTACTTCACTCTGGCCGGTGGTGGCACTGACTGCAAGACTTTTAATACGTTATGTCGTGTCACTACCTTGCCAGGGATGAGGGGGTAGACATTTAAATGGGCTTGTACTGTCCAGGTTGCCGTGAGGCGCGAACGGTTCAAGCGGGCTTGCTCGCTGAGCTGGCGCCCTCTTCGAGGGCCGATGGGTTTCTAGAGCTTGTGTGCACGGGGAAGGGACGGGACGCTGGGAAGGGAAGGGACGGGACGGGACACGGGGAAGGGACGGGACGCACACGGTGTACGTGGCCGTTGAGGAACGCGTGTATGGTATATGCCCATACCGCTGCAGGCTTTGGATCCCTGCGCTTGTGCAACAGATGGACTAGGTTTACACCATTGTTACCTGTCCTGACGGAAACTCACGCTCCGAGCAATGCAGCTAGTGGTTTTTGCCACATCGTTTACTCCGATGTAAGAGGGCCCGAACGTGGTAAAAGCGCGAGCGTTGTGTCTTCTTCTAGGCTTACTCGGAGATATACAAACGGGGAGTCTAGCCCAGTTCACATCGCTGACTTGAAGGTATACTACCGTCGCGATAGAGAAGATGATTAACATGAGGTTGCGGAAGGACACAGGAAATTTTTCTATTCCTGGCGACCCAGGGCGAGCTCCGGAATGCAAAACTCACCGAGTTAGCCACACAGTACACGAACCCGTCGACAAGCAATTTTGTAGTGTAGGCTATGGCCACTGCCACAATCTGCGGCAAAGTATTTCTTCGTGTGTATTGTTCTAACACTTTGTTCTGCGCAGAATGGCTTCTTAGAAAAAACGGCCATAGACGGCGTCACCCAGGAAGTCCACCGGGAGGAAACACGGGCTCATGCGTTTTCCCAAGTTCTCAGGGTGGCTGACGCTTGTTCGGCCTGACGAACCGCCTGGATACGTTCTGGCTGGTCTGGCCCATGACGACCCCGGAGTTGTTCCGCATCGAGACTCGAGCTGTGATAGCCCGGAAGAGCTAGCCTACGCAGCGCTGGCGTGGGAAGGACGATTCGCAGGCCTGAACACGGACTCCGACTGTGAGCTCTGAACGACGGGTAACACCCAGGGTCGGCAGGCCCGGAGTGCCGTCTCTCGAGGACGGGCAACCGGGAAGTACAGTAAACTCATTCGCTGCCTTCACTTTGTGTTGTGTCGCTCCCTGGGTGACATTCGATGCGCAGACCTACCGGGAGGCGATTATTATAGATCGAGGTTACAACAATGAATAACACAAACTTGAGCTCGATAAACCATATTGCTGTGACCAACACTCAAAATAGACCGAGAAAAATGCTCTTTACGATTTGCGTTGTCCTAGTAAGTTACAAGAATTTAATAAAACCTCAGTTTTGTCACATTCATGTTATTCCCCAAGACCTTTAAACTACGGAAAAAATAAACCACGAAAAAAATGACCGAAAATAAAAGAAGAAATAAACCCCCAAAACACAGAATCATACGTCGGAAATAAGTGGAACTGAACTGCTTCAGGAAGTTCTCCAGCTTAAAAAGTGTTTTCTAACTAAACAACCCTTAAAGCATTTCCGTTTTTTTATGTTTGTTTATTAGGTTGCTCCTACAACATTCTCACCTTGAGTTCGTTCGAAGAGGGCACTTCTATCCTTGGTGTAACGGTCAGAGCTGACAGTTCAAGGGGAAGATTCTGAAAGGAAGCGAGATATTTCTTTGAGATGTGAATACTAAGATACTTTCGTCGAGCAGCTTGATGTCAGTTTTTTCCACACAGAACTTCCCAAAAACATTGCATTGCGGAGTGAAAAAATAACAGAACCTGCCCACTCTTAAGTGTTAAACGCTCTACTACAACCAAGTGAATAGAAAGGCGAAGAACAACCAGTTCTACAAAGGCCAATATTGAAGAACGAGAGGACAATCGAACAACCCCATTTAGTTTCTGCTGGAGGGTCTTGACTTGAAATCATTCGCAATGGGGATATAATGATATCTCTAGCGGAAATTCATCCTTTCTTGTATTCCCGGTTTGATGGTTTTAGGTGCGAAGGGTGCGTAGACATGACACGATCAAGCCTCTATATTTTAGAGCTTTAATATTTCGCAAAGATAAGTCCGATAGGGTACCCTATACTCCGCAGCCTCATTTCCGCAGGCATCATATTGCTATCGGGGGTATCGAAACGTTATTCTAAATAATTCAAATAAGGACGCTAGCTTTTGTTGACTCCACTGAGATATGATGAACTGGATTCAGCTCCGGAGAAATCGCTTTTGTGCCCACTGTGACTTATTTTTCGGCTCCAAGTTAGTACAAAGAAGCTCGTCTCCTTTATTTCTTTCTGGCGCATTTTCCCTTCTCGAGTTTTCCAGCGAGATAATCTTCTGACAGGAGGCGCAACTTCTGCCGAGAAAGTTGAAGTGCGGCAGTACATTGTGCATGCGTTTCACGGTCGCTCATCTGATGCTCCGTAGTCACAAAACAAATAAAAGCACACACAAAAAACAGAACCAAAACGTCGCTGTTCTACACATTTCATTAAAACTAATAATGAAATTGCCCATTGCTTGCACACAAAATGGCGAATATTTTTTTTATTAGCACCAGCTTTCTAAAAGTAGTTAGGTCGTAAGCTTGTGAAGGCTAAACGTAAATTAACTCATATAACGTGTTACTTGCAGCGTGTTAGTGCTGGTTAGATTTTAAGCGGGTAGCCGCACAAGATATGAAGTTCAAGAGATCAAAAGAAGGGAATTCACCCGCTCGTCAATTAATTAGCAAATTTGTTACACAACCTTGTTTTTCAGGAATGCATAAGGGAGTAATCCTTTTGAAGGTTCATAATACAGACGGAATTAAGGTCGTACCGTCCTTAGATTTCCCACTGGAAGCGCTGCAGATTTTAATAAAGTCCAGAAATATCACCTTTAGGCTGCCTTGAGTGCATTTTTTTTTTGTGCATTTCGCAGCCAATTTTAAAGTTAACTATACTTAGAAGAAGAAACTGGCAAACCGTATGGCAGTACACACAAGAGATATCTCCAGCCTTATTTTTGGAACCATGGCGAGAAGAGTACAAATTCTAGCATTTGCGTGTTTGTGTAAATAAGCTTGACAGTACAGAGTTATTTTTATCAGGTTCAACGAGATGGCGACAGCAGCATCAAGTGCCCGAAGCAAGAGCATTTGTTGATGTTTTATTTTCTCGAGCTCGCACTGAAAGGGGGGGGGGGGGGGGGGGGGGACGGCGTCTCGCGGCACACTTCAACCTCCAGGATCGTCTGTGTTCATCGGCAACATCTTTCCATCATCATTGATGTGTATGTAATTTATGTCGTCTGCGCCGCGCACACATTGGACCGAAGAATCGCACCGGATGTCGTAGTGATGCCATTGCAGTGGTTGTCGTTCCAAAGACAGGAGGAGGCTACCGCATCTGCGTAGACCTTACGCGCCTTAACGAAGTCGTACTGAGGGAGCGTCACATTTTACCTCCGACTGAGAACATTTTCGGACGTCTCGGGCAAGCAAAGGTTTTCCCGAAGCTGGACGCCACTGCAGGGTTCCACAAGGTAAAGCTTTCTGAAGAAAGTCAGGAGCTGACGACGTTCATAACCCCGATGGGAAGGTTTTGTTTCCGCATGCTCCAGAGTACTTCGAGCGAGAGATGAGTCACATTCTTGAGGGACTAGAAGGAGTTGTGATCATGATCAACAACATTCTTGTCTTCGGCGCATCAAAGGTCGAGCACGGTCGTCGACCCCAGCAAGTGCTGCAAAGGCTGGACGAGGCAGGCGTCAAACTGAGCAATAAGAAGTGCAGTTTCGCTGCCTCAGAAGTCAAGTTTCTCGGCGTGTTGGTCAGCGGGAGAGGAATCAGCCCGGATCCCCGAAAAGATCGAGGCCTTGCAGACGTTGCCAACACCCTTGGACGTCAGCGGGGTACGAAGACTATTAGGAATGGAAAACCACGTATGGTGCTTCATCCCACACCTCTCAGACGTCACGGCGCCAGTTAGAGAACTGCTGCAACAGCGCAACTCCTGGTACTGGGGACAGAGCTAGCAAACTGCCTTTGAGGAGCTAAAGAGCATGCTTAGCTCTCACATGTGCTTGGCCCAGTACGACCCGTCCTAGGCGATAGTAGTTTCAGCTGGTGGAAGTTTTTAGGGGCTCGGGGCCCTCATGCTTCAAGATCAGCCCTTTGGCGAGAGACGGGGAGCGGCCCATGTATCGAGGGCTCTCACGACCACCGAAACTCGCCACAGCCAGGTCGGAAAAGCCCTGGCCGCAACGTAGGCGGTTGAGCGCCTCGATCAGTTTTTGAGAGGCACCGACCTTTAAGTCGAAACGTGTCACCGCCCTCTCGTCACACTCTTGGGATCTGCGGAGTTGTATCTGATGCCACCTAGAATTCAGCGACTACGCCCGCCTCATGGACTAACAGTTCACCGTTCTTTATGTCCACGGCAAACTTTTAGCTGCGGCGGACACCCTGTCAAGGGCCCGGTGCAGAAACTGGATCAGCACTGCCAACATCAGGTCGACTTCATAAAACTCTTCGTCGGCGAAGTGGTTTCAGCAGCCGCTGATTTCGTGTCATCCCGCCTGGAAGCCCTACGAAAGCACCAAGCGGAAGACTGCATCTGCTCGGGCTTGCAGCGCTTCTGTGAAAAGGGTTGGCAAGAACATGTGCCCAGAGTTCCTGTGCGTCTACGAGAGTACTTAAAGGAACGTATGAAAATCACCGTGTGCGATGACTCATTACTGAAAGATCGCCGCATTTTTATTCCGCGCTTGCTGCGACACGAGATACTGCAGCTGATACATGAAGGCCATCAGGGCATCGGACGTTGCGAGGCAAGAGCAAAGGACGAAGTTTTGTTGCCTACTCTGAAGAGCGAAATAGAGCAACTTGTGACAGCCTGCGAGCGGTTCGCCCAACCAACTGTACAGCGCTCCGAGCCACTCATCAGTACACCGACTCCCAGTCGTCCGTTGCAAAGAGTCGGTACGGATCTGTTCGAGCTCAAGGGAAGACACTACGTGCTCGTCCATAGCTATTACTCCCGCTTCCCAGAGGTCATCAGCCTGACCTCGACGATATCAACGTCCGTCGTCGCAGCAGTCAAGAGCACATTCTTTCGGTATGGGATTCCTGACCTGCTGGTATCGGACAATGGGCCACAGTTCTCTTCGATAGAGTTCGCCGAGTTCGCCCAGAGTTACGGTTTGCACCACGCCACGAGCAGCCCACGCTTCCCACAGCCGAATGGGGAAGCGGCGCGTATGGTGCAGACCATGGAAGAGTTGTTCTACAAGTCAAGGGAGCTGCACATGGCCCTCCTGTTGTATCGAGACACTCCTGGAGTGACCGGCTACAGCCCGTCACAACCGCTAATGGGTCGACGGTGGCAGATAAAGGTACCGAAGATGCCAGGTTCGTTGCAGCCGGGGTGGCCATTACATCGGGACTTCAGAAGTAAAGACGGGGAAGCCCGAAGACGCCAGCGAAATGACTTCAATCGCCGTCACGCCGCTCGCCAACATCGCCCACTGTGCGTAGGATAGGACGCCTAAGTGCAAGACGTGCGTTGCCGAGCAACAGTCCCTAGTCCAGCGAAGCGGCCGCGCTCCTACGTAGTTGAGACCGGGACTGGCGTCCTGCAACGCAACCGCCGGCACCTGGTACCATTCGATGCGTCTCTGGCGGTCTCCGACGCTCGGATCCTGGCGGTTTGACCAACGAGACTACGGCTCCAGCCAATCCGGTATCTCAACGGCAAGAACAAGTCCGAGTGCAGGGAGCCAACAACAGCCGATCGCAGCTGTGTCTGCACCAACAGCAGTGCCGACGAACTTGACGAACCCCCCGTCAACATCAACGTCGACGGACACGTCGACGGCGGAGAATACGTCAATAAGAATGACTCAGTCGGGCCGCCAAGTTAGGCGACCGGAACGTCAGCACTTGTAAAAACTTAGAAGGGGCGATGTAGTGATGACTCGACAGTTTCCACTCGCGTGCCCCGCGGTGACACGTACTTCCATCCCTGCGAGTGCGCATGCTGTGGGTTATCTTGAGTTCAATGGAAGTGATAAAAAAAAAAAAAAAAAAAACTTGGGTGCCGGGCTCCGGAGTGGCTGGTTGCTCCTTCCCCGCGAGACAGTAATCACAATAATTAATATCAACGTCATCAAAAGTTTCGAATAGAAATAATTCACATCGACATTATTGAGATCACATTCAATTACATATAATGTCAGCATATAACATATATTATAATAGAACATTCTCCATTTCTGTTGCATTTAAAGAAAAAAATATGCAAAGATACACGAAAGACATTGGTATATTTTTTTCAACATCAAATTATCATTATAATTAATTATGAATCAAAATATTAAAAAACACTATAAAAAGAAAGAAACAAACTTCGAAATCTGCTACGCATTCGCGGAACAATTTTGAAGTTTAAGTCACTGGGGCTAAAAATGCGGCTTTATTCTTTTCTTCAACATGCGGATTCTTCGACTTTGGCGCACTATTTCAACAATAACGGGGTGATTATTTATAAGGTCAGATAACTGGCAATGACGTTTATTGAAGCTATCATCAAAATGATGAGTTATATAGAGCGCCCCTCGGAACACCCGTCTTGAAAAGCAAATTCTACTATTGTTTGTTTT